ATCAACAACCCTGAATCAGGTATAAACGGCTTGAGCCAGATTTTTGGTATAGTCGCTCAGTGGAGACAATTAGTTCCCTCAGTACTCGACTGTTTGGAATGGGATGTTTGAATATAGGGGATAGACTGTGTTTTTTAACTTTCGGCGGTCTTTGTGTTGTAGATATATTTTAATTCTTGAATATGCGTGATTGTTTTTTCTAAAGTTTAATTTTCGTTCATATTTAGTCATGCGTTGTGTTTACTCGTTTATTTATTGATTTATTCATTTATTTTATTTATCCGTAAACGAGCGGATAAATAAATAAGTGAGCCAAAATGATACGATGAATTGAATTGCGTGCGATTAGACGACGAGATATGTGATTCATTGGAATTTAATTGGAAATTGTAGATGAGGCAAACATAAAAATGGATGAAGGAGACGAGTACGTGCCTCAGATCTCACAATTGGACTACTCGTTAGTAGGGGGTGGTATTGGAATTGGAGGTAGTGGAGCTGGTTCAGCGATGAATGGTGGCACCAGTAGTGGTGTTTTGGGTTTAGGAGGAGCCGGTATGGGATTGGGAATGGTTGGAATGGGTGGAGGTGGTGGATTAGCCGGAATCAACGTTGCTGGTGGGCTTATGGCATCGGACGGATTAGGCGGTACTCCAACAATGCTTCAGAGTAGTGCTGCTGGCGAGCAACGTCATCCGAGCGCACTCTACAGTGCCTCGGGTCTAGGATCGTCGACTAGCTCAGCAGTGAATAATGCACGAATGCTCTCACAATCACAGTTATCTTCCTCCTCTGCTTCGTCAATGCATCATATGCGACATCCTTCAGCGAGTGCCGCCACTCCACTCGGCGCATCCCCTTATCGTACGATGGATTCACCGAATTCGAATCTGAACAGCATGCAATCCGGAGCAGCAGCCAGTCTTTTACAGCAACAGCAACAATTAAACGCCGGTGCGAATAACCCTTTGAATAGTAATAATAATGCTAGTGGTATGTGTATGATGCGTGGAATAGCCTCATCGTCAGGTATCTCATCACAGCAACATGCATCTCTTAATAGCATGAATAATCCTTTAAGTAGTAGTAATAGTAATAGTGGTACGAATATGAATATCGGTGGTAGTCATCCTTTACAACAGCTACAGCAACACCAACAACAACAGCAACAGATACCTGCGCCAAGCCATAAGGGTGGCACAAAGGGAGCCGGTACGCGAAGACGTAAAAATATGAATGCAGCGAATGTAAATAGTTCAACGGCAAATAGCAATAGTAATAATAGTGCGAACAGTAATACGGGAAGTGCAATGATGGCGTCTTCAATTGGAGTCGGTGGATTATTCAACAGTTTGGAGCAACAACATTCGCCGATGACCATGATGGGCGCTGGTGCCACTCAACAGCAACAGTACTTAACGTTGCAACAGCAACAACAACAGCAGCAAATTGGGACCACTGGAGCAACAGGGAGTGGTGGAACCCTGTTGAGCGGTGTTGGGGGTATGGGTCTGGGTGTGAGTAGTAGCGTTGCAAACAGTATGAATAATAGTAACAGTAGTGGTCTGATGAGTCCGATGCAGAGTATGGCCGCCATGTCACAAAGTCCCTTGATGAGCAATTCGATGGGTGGTGGTGGTCTTGGTGCGCAAGGTGTCCCTCCCAACTACCAGATGCGTCCTTCGCCGCAACAGCAACAGCAAATGATGAACGCTAGTGGGATGTCGTCGAGGAAAGCCAACGCTGCAAATGAGATGCAAATGAGGCATCCGAACATGATGGGACCCGGGCCACCTGGCCTAGGTGGAGGTGGTGGAATGCCGGGAATGGGGCCGATCGGTGGCGCTGGCTCAGCAATGATCCCGCCGTCGGCAGCAGCTGCTGCAGCTGCTGCTGCAGCTCAGCATCACCAGCAGCAGCAGCAGCAGCCTCAACTTCAGGCACATCAAATCCATG